TGCGTGCGTGCGTGCGTGCGTGTGTGCGTGCGTGCGTGCGTGTGTGCGTGTGCGTGTGTGCGTGCGTGTGGGCGTGTGTGTGTGTGTGTGTCTGTGTGTGTCTGTGTGTGTACGTGCGTGCATGCATGCGTACGTACGTGCGTGCTTGTGTGTAGGTACGTGTAGTAGTTGCCCCGTATAACTGTCACTAAAGGCCGCCGCACACCAGCCGATTTTTACAAACGATGAAGCTATGAAGCGATGAAGCGATGTAGGTGTGCGCGTTCATTTGTAGACGATTTTATTTTTATCGGGTGATCGTTCCAAATCAAACATGTTTGATTTTGAACCGATGAGCCGATGAGCCGATGAGCCGATGAGCCGATTTTAAGGCCGCCGCACACCTACATCGCTTCATCGCTTCAGCGCTTCATTGCTTCATCATTTGTAAAATCGGCTGGTGTGCGGCGGCCTTAAAGGAAAGAACCAAAAGTGACCTTTATGGACAGGTGGCTGTACTATGTAAGTGGCTGCTAATGCAGGTTTGACTGCAGTGATGTTACACTGTTGTGAAGAGAGGTTGGCATGTTCTGATCCAGGTAAGTGGACGGAGCAGTTAGGCCACATCTACCTGAGCCTGATGGAGTATGCCAGCGATGCAGAAGCCTTCAGACAGGAGATCGGTCAGCCGAAGCTTGGCGAGGTATCATTGTGTCTTCGACTGTCGGTGGGAACATTTTGTTTTTGTACGGAAGATTTTTTGCCTTCATCAATCGTTAGTTGCTGATGTGTTGTCGACTGTGCGCAAGGTATCTGACTTGTACGCGTAATTTTATGTTTATATACATTACGCATATAATTTAGTGTGTACTCGTGTGTGCATGAGTATGCGTGTGTGCGTGAGTATGCGTGTTTGCATATATTAGTGTGCGTGTGTGTGCGTGCGTGTGTGCGTGCGTGGGCGTGTTCATTGTGTTATGTTTATTTAGTGCATCAGCAGAATGTGTATCACGTTCGTATTTCGATTGTTGTTGTTTTTTGCCCCGTAGATTGTCTCAGCAAGCTTAGAAGAGGATGAAGATGTGTATCACCTACTAGTCACACTAACCAAAGAAGGTGAACATTTCAGCTCAATACCTATAATAATTCCACAAAAGATTAAAGGCCAGTGTGAAGAAATAAAACAGGAATATATTTGGTGCAGAGTGGTTGTGAGTGAGGTAAAGAATGGAGATAAGTGATGCCCCAGATCAGCCATTTTGTTTAATTTACAGTTTCTAAGAACTGGTTCAATTTCAGACCCGTCTAACAGAGAAGAGGAAACCACATCGAAGATCTCAGCATCTCAAGATCAAAACATCATCGCTCTTTCCTCGACGCCGCCGTGGAAACTTCAGAAGCAAAATCGAAATGCAAACACCAAGGTTGGCATAAGGCAACAAGACAAGATTACAGAACAAGAGAAGACTGAGAAAGAAAAGGAACCGGTAAAGCCAGAGCAAAATGAAAAAGAAATCCAGCTCGTGAGTAGCTGTGTGAGGCTTGTGGCTTTGAAAAGTTGTCTGGAGCCTGTTCTGTGTCCCTTTCTATGTCCTTTTTGCTTATGATATCTTTTCTGCATGATTGTGAATGTATCATCATCTCACACTGTTCTGTATGCATTTTATTTTACTTTTGTTTTTTTGCTGATGAAGTCTGTCTTTTATGTTTTCTCGCAGGAAACACAAGGAACTTTGAGGCCATGGAGAGAGTTTGATGCAGAGAATGACAGTGAAGCTATGCGCAATGCACTTAAGGGTCTTGGTTAGTGTTTTATAGCATATGCTATCATATCTTGTTAATGAAGTTTTACGCACAGAGAGGAGGGGAGGAATCGAGAGAGAGAATGTTCTGGTTGACAAGATGCGAATTAATTACATATATATAAAATTGTTTGTTTGACAACATTTCTATCTTACTAATAAAGGAATTAAATACCAGGTGGTAATGCAATTTATATGTATTTTGTAGGAGTGATAACCTTTTATAGCAAAGATTATTTGCACTTTTTATTTTTATTATTATTATACTTTTTAGGTACAAATGAGGACACCGTTATCCAGGTTATGGGAACACGTAGCAATGCTCAAAGACAAAGTATCATCAAACATTATAAGACAATGTTTGGAAAGGTAGGAAGCTACAAGTAACTGCATGATGCACTATAGTTGCATTTTCAAATTGTTATTTTTTTGAACTTCTGTGAACGTCTTTGGTGGTACTGGGGGATATGAACTGTTAAGGGGAGGTTTGATTTGTATTTTTTGTTCTTTTTTGCTTTTATAGTAGTTAGCATTTATTTTTTACAGATTTGGGTAGTTTTATTCACTCATGTGGCTTTGGCTATTGCAGAGTCTAGTCAAGGACCTTGATGGGGAGTTGAGTGGTAATCTTCATGTGACAGTGCTGGCACTGTGTCAGCGTGCGTGCGACTACGATGCTAGCCTACTTCATAAGGCTCTACAAGTATGTGCCATTAAATCTACTTAAGAAGTCACTCATAAAGAATTCGTGGTATAAATTTGTAATATCTTAGAAATAGATAGCACCACCTGCATATCAAGAGCTCAGTTAAAATATACGATGTTACAATGAGTGAATAAAAATACATTTACTCACAATAACCAATTTGCTTCAGATGCCTGATGGTACAGATAACAGCAAAGTATTGATTGTCATTATTCGAAGTGCTGTCTGTAAAGGCGATCTGCATACACATGCAGAGTAATACAACATAGTGTCACAAGATGGTTAGGTATTTTTCTACCCAGATGTTCAGTAAAAAGAACAACATGCCTTTGTGCGAACCACAAGTTGGGAATATGAGTATCTGCATTATAGAGTGGCTGGCATTAACAATGTTCTACTGTATGTTACAGGGCCTAGGCACAGATGAAGCAACACTGATTGAAATTTTCTGCACTCGTACGAATAAAGAGATCAACGATATTAAACATAGTTATAGAACATGTAAATATGATTCTTACTATATAATCATTCATTGTTAGTCAAATAAAAGAAATACATTTTTTTGCGAGCTCTAATTAATGATTTCAACTAATTAATGATGTCAGAAAATTGAATAGAGATATAAAGCATTGTTGTTTAACAATGTAGCCTGTTATTATTATTATTATTATTATTATTATTGTTTTTTCATTACTACGCAGTATACAACAAAGACCTTGAGAAGGATATCATCTCTGACACGTCTGGTCACTTCAAGCATGTATTAGTGTCACTAGTTCAGGGAAATAGAGACGAAGGAGTCACAGTTAACAGAGGCTTAGCAAGGCAGGATGCAGAGGTATAACGAGCAATCTTTGGTGTGATAACCCAATGTGATATATATATATATTTATTTATTTATATATATATTTATATAAGTATATATGTAATAATTACATTCATCAAACAGAAAATGTCACTGAAACTATATCCTTCCGAGTATATCATACAACAATATGCCTTCTGTAATTCTCATGCTTGGCCTTAATTGACCTTCAGTGGTTGTGATACCAGTACTTAGACCACCTGTACAGTTATCACGCACACACGCCTATAATCACATAAGTGCATATCTTTCCTAGGCTCTGTACGAAGCAGGGAAACTGAAGTGGGGGACAGAGGAGTCAAAGTTCAATGCCATCCTTGTTTCAAGAAGTCCTGCCCAGCTGCGAGCAACATTTGATGAGTACCAAAAAGTTTCGAAAAAGACCTTAGAGGATGACATCAAGAGTGAAATGTCTGGTGACCTCAGGACTGCTATGCTTGCTATAGGTGAGTATCTGTGATGCTTTTACACATGTATGAGGGATGAATATTGTTCTTGCACACATGTATGAGGAATGAACATTGTTCTTGCACACATGATTGAGGAATGAACATTGTTCTTACACACATGTATGAGGAATGACCATTGTTCTTATACACATGATTGAGCAATGACCATTGTTCTTAATCACCTGCACAAGGAAGGGCCATTGTTCATAAACACCCATGTGAGGAATATCCATTGTTCTTAAACACACAATTGAGGAATGACCCTTCTTCTTACACACATAATTGACAAATGACCATTGTTTTTAAACACCCGCGTGAGCAATGACCATTGTTCTTAAACACCGACGTGAGGAAGGGTCATTGCTTGCACACACCTTGACCTTGTTTTTGCATCTCGCGCGCACGCAGTGCGCTGCATCAGGAGCAAGCCCGACTACTTCTCGCGTCGGCTTCACACGGCGATGAAAGGAGCTGGCACCGACGACGACGCTCTCATCCGGATCGTCGTGTCTCGCTGCGAGATCGACATGACGCAGGTTGCTGAGAGCTTCCAGCGCGGCTACAAGCAGACGCTCGCTCAGTTCGTACGCGAGGACACGTCGGGGGATTATAGGAAGCTGCTGCTGCTGCTGCTGGGAGAGGCAGTCGAACTACATCCGAAACATATAGGTGCGCACGCGCATGTTGCGTAGAGCAATGCTTCTTAAACTGGTGAATGGTTCGCCAAAGGGCGAATGAAATTATTTTGGGGTGAATGAAACTTGCCAAAAACGTAAGGAAATTAAGTCCGCGGGTGAATGAACTTTTGTGATAAAGACTCGAGGGTTAATGACACTGAAATAATTTAAGAAGCACTGCCATAGAGTGACGTTAAGTGCGTATGCTCACAGCAGGCTGTTAGCGTTAGAGGGTGTCGACGTCTGCAGTAAGTGTTGAGTGCATGTGGGATAGACCTACTGCTTAACGAAAAATAAAGAATTCCAAACTCGCTGTTATTTTATGACAAATGTTAATGCATGGTTATAGAAATTTGTAGGTATATACTATTATTTATGCACTTACTATCATAGTATTGCCCTGAAATTCTTGGGCGTAGTATCCCTTTATGGAACTGACGAGTTTACACTTGCGGTTACAGAAGCGATAGTGAAACCTGAAGAGAAGAAGGAGGAGGTTACTCAAGGTCATGCATCCGGCTCCCTCGTTCGTCCCGTGGTCCAGGAAGCTGTCGTTGCATCTGAGAATGAATACTGGGATGAGCCGGCTGTGCAGGTTTCCGGAACAGTGAAAACATACAGTGGCTTCAGTCCGGAAACCGACGCAGAGGTGTTGCAGAAAGCAATGAAGGGACTAGGTGAGACTGATAGTCGGCTGTTTCCAGTAACTTGTCTGGGACCGCTTGAAAACTACAGCAGGCCAGTCATTGAAACGTGTGTTAGTCAAGCTGAGAGTTTATCACAAAATGAAACTATTTAGGTCCGTAGGTGGACAGTGTTCATATTGGAATTCATGCATTGAAATTATATATATATTGTATTATATTATTACATAATATCACTGGTAAGTGAATTAGGTGTTCAGGAAATATTCTCTTATTAATCTCTTAAATGATATTCTTGTTGTTGTGCCATGGCGGACACGGAGTTGTGTTCTCGTTGGTGAACCGATATTTACCAGCGTTAAACACACAGGTGTGTTTTTGCTATTTGCACAGGTGCCGATGAGCAGGCAATCGTAGGTGTGTATGGCCGACGCACGGCCTCCCAGCGACAGATAATCGCACAGGTGTACAAGACCAGGTACGGCAAGGACCTCGTTAAAGACCTCAAGAGCAATCTTGGTGGAAACTTGCGCCACCTGGTGATTGGTTTGAGCGTGCGTCGGCCGCAATTTGATGCGACCGAGCTTAGGAAGGCGATGAAGGTTGGTGCTGTGCTAGTGGTTTGTGTTTTTTGTTTGAAGTTTGGTGCTGTGCTAGTGGTTTGTGTTTTTTGTTTGAAGTGATTGCCAAAAAGTGAATCACTGACGGAGTTTTTGATAGGTGTTTAGATTATCCTATTGTAAATAGCTCATAGTCATTAATATTTATATTATTACGACATATGCCATCTCTACGTCAGCCATCATGGTAACAAGCCGGTCTGGCAATGAATCACCCAGATGTGTCTCGCTCCTGATGACCTTCAGTATGTCCTTCCTGTACAGTCTTGGCCGTACTCGACAAAACACGCCCGCAGGTGCGCGGGAATTCGCGACACGCAGGAAGTCTCGATCGAAGCGCGCGTCAGCTCCGTGCCCAAGATTTTCCCCCCAGACCTACACGGATGTATAAATGCCTGCAGAGAGAAGACATGCAGTGGTCTATAGCCGTACACGTCTCGTGTTTCGGATGCAGGGTTGGCATACAATAGAATGCCATAAGCCTTATATAACACTGGTGTTCATACTGTGCTTGATGCAAGGTTTGCCATGAACAATAAGAATGGCACGATGTCTATCATACCGCTGCTTAGCGTGCGTGTAGTCTTCATACTGTTTGAGTTACGTGTTATCACATATTATTCAAGGTGTAAATATTTTTATAATATAGATATAAAGAATCCTATATTATTACGCTGATATTATATGAAGCAGAATTTTCATGATTAATCAGTAAGTAACAAAGGGGAAAATATAAGAACATAATGTTTTTAATCCACTCCTAACACTATCATAATTCCACGTATAAGCAGACAACATATGTCTTGAGGTCGTTTCAAATAAGCCAAACGTCTTAAATGAGTTCATATATAAAACTGAGTTTAGGGGGGATGCAGAAGTTGCACCCGGCGTTATAGTAGGTCATTTTAGCATTGCTAACTACAAAGAGACGAGAGAGAGAAGTGGATTTAATACGATCGAAAGGTGTGTAGGAATAGCCATTTTTTTCCTTAACCCCTGAAAATCCGTCTGATGTCCTCACGGTATTAAAACATACTATATATATACATCCATTTATGGTTCATACTTATACAAATATACCTGTGCATCTTCCTAGCCTACTTGCCATATCTACTTTCGTGTTTTTTCATCTCGGTTGCCTTGATAGTTCAAGGACACTCTAGCAGTCTTTGAAATGTTGGGAAATCTCAGACACAATGTCATGCTTCACTGAGAGTTCTTTCGAAGGCTGTAGATGTCAAAGCAACATTGTAGTAAAATAATTTACTCAACGAATCGCCAAAAATCTTTCGACATGCGTCTTTAAAGTTTTCGGCTGTGTTTACTTTGAACAAAACGGCAACATCAGTCATAACTGTCTTTCAACATCTTGATGTAGTACCTCCGAACTGAATCGCGTTACCACATGTGTATCTGGACCGCGCTTACGACACACTTAAGCTGAGTTCAAATTGGCAACTAGGGTTGTTGCCATCATTGCCGTGACATGCTTCTGTATGCCATGCAGAGAGACCCTATGAATGATAAATAATATACAATGAGCCGAACAAAGGGCTACAGCTTGAAGAGTTTAATAGGCGTCAGAACTCTCTGTGGTGCACTCAACTGGATCGTAGGCCCTTCTTTCAGTGCTTCGATCTCCGCGATTCGTTCTGGTGCACAGTATCTTCGATGAGGCACAAGGACTGCCTTAGTTCGCGGAGACCCCTGTCACAACGAGTGATAACACGCTCAGCACTTATGTCTGGTAACCCGTTCTATTTCATCGGCAGATGCTCGAAATATAGTTCTTGTCCGGTTGTTCCGAGACAACCGAGAATGTTGCGCCCGGACAACCTAACCAGTCTGAGACATTGTCCGGCTGACAACAAAATAAAAATGTGACGAAAAACAACACCTTTATTTATGCTTTTCTCAGTGGTCTCCAAGAGCACTTATAGCCTGGCGGCCGCCGCCATTAATCTACTGGTGTGCGAAAGCGATCTGCATGACCCAGCTGCTTTATTTCCAACACTTGTATAAGTCGGTTTTCTGATTATGAGAAGTTGAACATCGATTGGAACCAGCAAACGCTAGCGAAGTTCACCCCTAAACATTTTGGTATTTTTATTTCATTATTATTTGAATTTTCCGATGGCTTTGCCCATGCAAAACAAACACCAGTGGTTCATCGTTGATTCGAAAAGTTTAAAAAAAAAGAGATGTCGTAGTCAGAATGAATGTGTACATGTACTCAAAAGGCCGCAAATACATCTCCTGCGATCTACATTGTATCAAATTTTCTGGGGGAGGACGCCCCCCGCTTGTTTTAACCCGCTCCTTGAATCCTAAAGATCCGCCCTACTCGAAACATTAACATATCTGGTGAGGCAAGAAAGCAATGAACAAGAAATTCGTCCTTTTGCATGGCACCCAAAACAAAGATTGAGGCAGAGTAAGGTAGAGGAGCCCGTAGGGTGTGGAGAAGAGAGGCGGAGGCAGCCATTAACAATATTAATTCATGACCACCTATTTGTCCGCAGTTCGCTGTTTATTTGGGCCCCCCCTTGTTAAAAAATCCCGGTACACCACATGTTTTTGGGGTGTTTCTGACACATACTATTAACTTGTGTGTGACAAATAGACGAATTTGGGTATTTTTCGGGACAGCGCAGAAATTGTCGCGGGCACCACTGATTTTCGTGGCCCTGGTTGTCCTGCAGGCACCAACCAAATTTTTTGTTATTTCGAGCACCTGGATTCCGTGTTATATTTCGTGGCACTAAGCACACATCCGGACACATCCATCATCCACAACGCGCACTTTTTACAGAGGCTTAATAACCACCCCAGTCACAGTCACTACTAGGCATCTGATACGATTCCCTATTCTTAGCAAACACATCCGGAATACTAATCTTGCAACTGTTAACTTCACTGCACTACATTGGTACTGCATCTGCCGCACTACATTGTACTGCACTGCACTACATTGTACTGCACTGCACTACATTGTACTGCACTGCACTGCACTGAACTGCATTGCACTGCACAACACTGCACTACACTAAACACTACATTGAACTACACTGCACTGCACTGAACTGCACTGCACTGAACTGCACTGCACTGAACTGCACTGCACTGCACTACATTGTAATGAACTGCACTCTCTAACCTGCAGATACAGGATTTTAGGTAGACGAGGGCGATTTCTGGCACGAGAACAACACGAGGAATGCACGACACAAACCACTAGCACAGCACCAAACAAAAAACACAAACCACTAGCACAGCACCAAACTTCAAACAAACAAGTGCCGCATAGCGACAGCGCTCATCTAATGTCTACGCTGCGAGTGACTCTGTGGTGAGCTGTTGGGATTCTATAAACCGAGTCGCAAATGTGTTCAATACACGCCGAAACAGTGGAATGTCACAGGGATGGTCATCAGGAATTCTCCAAAGAATTGTTCGTTGGGATCGAGTTATGAACAAGTTGCCACGAGATTGGCGCGTTACAGGCGGGTTTAAGGTGTCGTTCAGATAAAGATGGAAGCTCCCATTCATCACGTAGTAGCACTGAAGCAGATCGACTATCTGCAAGACACTGAAATAGGTAAGCACTGCATCATTTACCTACCAAGCCTACAGGCTGCGCAAATAGAGAGCTGCACGCTGTAGACAAATTAAGGCAAAACTCCACAGTACTAGCAACACATGCACTGGCAGTAGCCACTGGCAGTGGCATACGTTACATGTAACATACTGACTAGCTAACAAAGAAAAATGGCCATATAAATTCATAGCGATTTAAGGAGCATCAAACTTCTTATAAGCCAGAATTTAAGCTTTTGAAATTTCGCTGTGACAATTGTAGCCCTGCAATACATCCAGGCATGTATAGATTTCTAGCTAGCAAACGCGGCGAGTCAATTCTGTTCTAAAGAGCATCAACAAGATCCATGTTTAGACGCCCTCTCTTGAGGGGTGACGGAAAAGGTTATCTGACGCACTTACTCTTGCGCCATGTCAGCAGAAATAAGATTTATAGGTCCTTTCAATATGCATAAAAAAGTGCTGTAGTCACCGCTGAAACAAAAAAGTTTTTCAATCGCATCCGTCAGACCATGCGCTAGAAAATGTCTAAAATCTCCCTGTGGCCCCATGTGACCTTTGACCTGTGATCCTCGCCAAATTTCGGCCACAGTGATGGCTTTCCTACCATGATGCTATACACGCGGACTATGCACGGGACCTAAAGTTCGAGCCGTTTAGATTGTGCTGCAATTCTGGCATTTCCTTGCCTATACCATATAAGTTAAGGAGTGAATGTTCCCCCTGTCGTTCTTATCAACGCTCTGACCTTTGACCTTTGACTGCCCCAGCTTCGGACAGCCCAACTCCGTTTTGACGATCCCCCCAACGACCCGAATGATCGTGACCGGTATCGTCGAGCGTTAGATTTGTGCCCAACTGTTGAACGGACGACGACGGACGGACGGACGATCAAGGCGATCTACAGAGCTGGATCTGATCTATGGTCAGATGAAGCTAA